AGCACAACATGCCTGGACAAACACAGGTTTTGTTCTTTGTCCAGTCTGCGTTATGCTTTCATCCCGTCCTCGGCCCCTGAAGCCCGGGTCAATGTGGACTCTATCATGTATTCCAAAGCCGTATAAAGGCCGGCAGGCTACGAGCCATTTCATGTGTGACCACTGGACTGGAAGCTAAGCCCTCACGGTTGACAGCATGCCAACAGTTTCCAAGGACTCTGCTACGACAAGTTCCAGCCGCCTACTCAGCAGACAATGGCCTGACACCGCGCATGCCCGCGGAATCTGGTGGTGCAGGCAAGGCGCCAGCCGGGAAGAGGTGGAGCAGTTCAGAAACGAAACCTACCGCAGGCCTGAGATGAGGAGCACTGTCAGACTGACATGACTGGGCATTGCACAGGATTGGTGGCCTCCCACGCTCTAACAGTGGCAACAGCGGTGGTACGCCTGGCGTCGAGAGCAAACCGCCGCCTGCTAGGAAGCGAAAGCGACCGTCGGAGGCCTCCATTCACCGCAATTAACAATCGAGCGTAACTGGGTATTGTAGCGTAGGAGCTTGTTTCCGGCCCTCCCACCACAAATAGATTTGACAGTGGAAGGCTTCATGCTTTTCCGTGAGTCGTGAAGCATACGCCATTCATTGTGCGCAGCGGTTCTACTACCCTGGCCTGTGGCCCTGTGCCAGGATGCCCTGCTCCAGCAGTTGCAGGAGCAGGGCAAGCTGGTTGGTGCTCTTCATGTGTCAGGGTAGCTGGCCAGCAATGCAGAAAGCGTTGCTGTGATGGAAAGTCACTTGCCCATTCCTTCGCTCCAAGGCGAAATTCCAGTCTGAAGAATTCGTGACATGCTCAGCGGTTTGTCGGGAGTCATTTTTAAAGGCATTTGTGTGCCCTGCACAAGCATCCCTGCCTTGGAGCTGCTAAACCTTCCCGAGGACTGTGAATGGCATCTATGCCAAAGTGGATGGAGGCTTCAAGGGTCGAATGGCCTACGAAAGGGTCAGCACAAGAGGCACCAAAGCAAAAAAGACACTGTGGCTGAACAATACCCACAATTTTGCGTTTGCAGGGAAGAACGATCCCAAGCGATGCCTCTTCTTCTCGGAAGACAAAGCACGCTGGAAAATAAGTGAGGCGGGCCAACCAGTGGGTCTTGTAATGTGATACTGTGCCGACGGATTCGTCGGCTGGCTGCGTAACAGCATCTCTGTCCTGTCTCTTGAAGAGGCGCTTGGAGATCGTCATAACTTTGCATTCCTGAAAGTCAAGGACACTGGTTGTGACCGACCTGCTTTGAAACCGCTTGGTGTGTTTCACATCAGATTTTGCTGAGTGTAGCCCTCGGTGGACAGAGTTTTTTTAGCTCAGGGCTGACTTTTGGCTCGAAAGGGCAGGAGGCAAACTTATTATGCGTCTTCTGTAAACGCATCTCTTGTCTTAAGATAACAGCTCAGTGTTGCCCAAGGTTCTAAGAGTGTAAACCGCTTTCTCAAGGGTCCAGGATGGAATTGCCCGCCGCTGCACCAGGCGCGCCAGGTGCACGAGGTGTCATACCGAAGGCATTGACACTCTTGGTCATCTGCTGCGTCCTTTATGCTGGGCGCCGGCTGATTCACATCAGAGCCAGCACTGGCGTTGACTCTGACTATGATTATGACTTGTTTACAATTGGAGGTGGCAGTGCTGGTGTCCGATTGGCACGATTCAGCGCTAAATATGGTGCAAGGGTTGGCCTTGCAGAGCTTCCATTTGCTGTTGTCAGTGGCAAGCATTCAGCTGGCGGCTTGGGTGGGACTTGTGTTATTCGAGGGTGCATTCCCAAAAAACTTCTAGTGTATGGGAGCCAGCTGCGTGATGAGCTGCAGGATGCTCGCGGGTATGGCTGGCAATTTAAAGGGCACCCGCGAATAAATTGGCGGCAGCTCATTGAAACCAAGAACAGGGAGGTAGCCCGTTTGAGCGGCAAGTACAGGGAGCTCTTGGCAGACGCGGGAGTGGATGTGTATCAGGGCTATGCCAAGGTGCTTGGCCCCCACACCGTGGAAGTGAACGGTCGTCTGGTAAAGGCAAAGCACATCTGTCTGGCAACGGGGAGCCGGGCGACTGTGCCGGAGATTCCCGGTTTCAATCTCTCCGGTGTGATCACAAGTGATGACGCCTTGAACTTACCACGGCTGCCACGGAAGATCGTTATCGTTGGTGGTGGATACATTGCTATGGAGTTTGCCAGCTTTTTCTACGGCTACGGCTCGGAGGTGCACCTGGTTTTCCGTGCGGAGGAGCCACTGCGCGGTTTTGATGAGGATGTGCGCGCCCACCTTCATAGCGCGCTCCAGGAGCGAGGTATCCACTTGCATGCCAGTGAAAGGCCTGAGAGTATCCAGGCAAACCGCGCAGGGCTTAGATTCCAAACAGATCGCGGGACCGTTTTGCAAGCGGACAACGTTATGTTTGCCACCGGGCGGCGGCCGAACACGGAAGATCTAGGGCTTGAGGAGGTCGGTGTGGAGCTGGACGCCTCCAGTGGCAAGATATTGGTTGATCAGTTCAGTCGCACGACAGTTCCATCCATCTTTGCCATTGGAGATGTGACGTCTCGGAGGAGTCTTACGCCTGTGGCCCTGATGGAGGCCACGGCATTGTCAGAGACCTTGTTTGGCCCCAGGCCCAAAGCCCCGAATTATGATAATGTGCCCAGTGCTGTTTTCAGCCAGCCACCTGTTGCAAAATGCGGTTTAAGTGAGGCTGAGGCTGCAGACAAGTACGGGGAGGTTGAAGTTTTCATGAGCGAGTTCAAGCCGCTGAAGCACACAATGCCTACTGGCCGCGCTGGCCAAGAACGAATGTTGATCAAAGTTCTGGTGGTGAATCGCGGTCCTTCTACAGGATTGGTCGTGGGTGTCCATATGGTGGGTCAGGATGCGCCAGAAATAGTGCAGGGATTGGCAATTGCGTTGAAGGCAGGCGCCAGTAAGAAGCAATTTGATCAAACGGTTGCGCTGCATCCGACAGCAGCCGAGGAATTTTGCACTCTACGTCAAGCCAGGCGCATTGCAAAAAAGTAAGATCTGCGCAGGTGAGGGCGTGTTTCCACACGCCTAAGTCATGTCACAATCTTTGCAGCCAAAAAATCAAGACAGCAGATTTGAAACAAGGACGGCGGCAAAAAGCCGCCATCAGAAGCTGGGTGCCATCCCTGTTCGGCAACTGCTGCGACTTGTGCTCTGTACCCTGGGGTTGGTGTGGGCTTTGTCGCACTGAGGTCAAAGAGCTACTGGAGCTTCTTCGATGGCAAAGAAATTGGCTGGCAGGAGGACACTGACATTTCGGCTTCCGAAAAGGCTTGCAGCAGGTTTTGCATGTGTGCCAGGACAGAGAGGTGAAGTGTGTTGCCTACGACCAGGCTGTGCACCATAATTGCTTTGGTTGTTTTCCCTTCCTCCCATGAACGAGTTCTACCTCTGCAGGCCAAGCGGCCCAGAAAAGAAAATGGTGAGGCCGAAGCAAAACTTTAGGTTTGTACGTAGGTGGTGCTCAGAGTCACTGTTGTTATCGGGCATTCAGCCACACATGACGAATTTTTTTGCACATGTCACTAAGCACGAGGTGGACTCAGTCAGTGCCCTCTTGCCAGCCAAGTTCTTTGACCTCAGGGCAACAAAGCTCACGCTACCCAACTGATCCTGATGGCACAACGCAGCACAAGCGCAGCATTGCTGAAATAGGGACGACACCCAACTTCCGATGGAAAGTGTTTTTTGCTGCTGTCCTTGCTTCAGATGTGCTGTTTTCATGTCACTGACGTGTTCGTATCATCAGATTCATACTTGTCGGAATTGGAAGAGCCATCCGAGCCAGAATTGCATCATCCTTCTTTGAGGGGTCTTTTCTTGGTTGATCTACGTACTGTAGTCTACATTGAGTCCACATAATAGCATTTCCCGCGCCAGAGTGCCAGCAATACCGCTCTTGAAGCTTGCCCCGCATCTGCTTTTGGTCTTTAATAGGTAGCGAGAGGGCTTCTTCAAAAGTGCTGCTTACAGCCGCGCTTTGCTTTTCGTATGTTGCAGGAGCCATCCAAAGCGGGAATGGATGGACAGAAACAGGCCATGCATTGTCTACTTCACGAGAGCAGGGCATCAGTTGATGCAATTGAGCAGGATGCTGCGGAATACGCGGCTTCTGCCCAGGACCACTTCAAACCTCTTCGAAGCTCCTGCATTGTCCCACCTGCAAGGATGACAGCTCGGACTCCGTGCCTCGTCGAAACAACCCTGACCTGCTTTTGTTCTTTGAGCGCTGCATGATTGTGTTGGATGCGCGTTCATCTTGACCTATTGCAGGCCAGCTCTTCTAGTGGCGAAAGCGACAGCGATGAGGCGGCTGATATCTGTTGCATGTGCAGCTTGCATTCAGCCTGTCTTTGGGCTTAGAGCAAGGCTTCCGGGGGGGAGTCTGTCAGCTCTGGCATGGGCCCGTGGACCAAAGCGCTCTGATGTGTGTACTTCTACCGTCGTGACGACTGAGGCAGATCAGCCTCCAACAAAGGTGCATTGCTTCAAGAAAGTTGCATTGTGGTCCATGAAAGTGCCCAAAACTTCCCTTCCAATCCGTGCCAGTGCCTGCGCCAGTTGAGCCAGCTGCAGCAGGCGCAGGATTGTCAGTTGCTGCACGTTCCTTATGCAGAGGTCAATCTTTATGTTCTGTCTGACTTGCCAGGCCCTGGTGGCGCACCAAAGATCAGATACCGAGCTGTGGCAAAGATGTTGGCACGTCTGCAGCTCGGAGACTTTCCTTCCAGATCCTGAGCTTATTGAAACTTTGGTTTATTTCAGAATGAAATCCAAATGATGTCCTAGGTGCAGGGCTTCGCTGCAGCTGCCACTTCGCACAGGAATGTCCTGCGCGTCTGAGCCTTACTGCAAGACTTGGGGAACACTCCCCAGACCAGCGTAAGAAAGAGTCGCCTACAGCTTTGCGGCATGCAGCAATGTGCACTCTCCTGATCACCACACATTGACGCATGCAGGTATCAAAGCAGCTGCGTGATCTGAGTCCTTGTCGCACTCTGACATTCAAGCTTGAGCCGGAAGGTGATAAAGAGCTTCTCATAGACCTAGACTCGCCCTAAAATCCCAAGGCAAGATAGCTCAACAATGTTACTTGGTGTGGGCTGCGAGCTTTCGGCTCTTGATTGTCTACTCCTCTGGAGCGGCAGTGCCAAAAACGTGCTTGCCTTGCCTCAGCCAATTTTACGCATTGCAGACCTTCACGGTTGATGCCAGCACCCATCTTCGCTGGCTCTGCAGCGGTATGCTGCAAGCGTGCCGATTTCGGGTTTTAGGGCCAGGCTGAGCTAGATCAGTGCTAGGTCCAACTGGGCAGCCATGGGCTGGGCCCTCGGTTCGTTGCCTTCCTGCTATTATTGTTGCTATTGCTACTTTATTCGTCTTTTGTGCTTTGCTGTAGGCTCAGATGAGAGAGCCCGCAAGAAGGCAAAGATTGCACCGGCGCCTCCTGCCGCGCGCCTATCAGCTTGACAGCTCTAGAGTGCTTCATGATGTCCCAGTATGCGGCTGCTTGCCAGCACTTGGTCCTGCCAAGGCTGATGACGCACTTGGAGGGCCCGTTCAGAAGCTCTAGTTTATGTAAATCTGACGTGACGCAGTGCTTTGCCCTGTGGAGGCTTTATGATTTCCTGCCGCCCCCGGATCCTGTCAAGGACGAAGCCGCAAAGGCAAGACCGGAGCCAGCATCTTTTGGCTTTGTTCCAGGGCTGCATGTCTTGCAGGCGGCAGCTGTACGGGCCCCAGCCCTTTCACTTTGCCGTGGTGCCTTGCCGGTTCCCTGAGCTCCTGTGTTTCGCAGGTCAAGAACCACCTCTCCAGACCGGCCTTGCCCCCGCCGGTCAAGTCTAGGCAGTCCAGGCAAACCTGAGCAGAACCTGTGCTCTTTTTTGACTGCTGCCAGGGTAATTTTCTTAGATGTGGACGGCGTGATTTTGCCAGCCGGCACTGGCCTTATACAGTCTTGTCAGCAGTGCCGCAAAGATTGGTTTTTCAAACCGATGATAATCCCACTCCTTACTCCGGCAAAGACTGAGATCCATGGGGTTGGGAAAGGCCTTGCTTCGCCGGGCCTTGAGCGGATGCAGGCTCCATTGATATGATTGTCGTCGATGGGGTTACCTTGCCGGCCACACCCTGAGCGGAATCAACAAGAGCCGTGGCACGTTTTTGATAGCACTTGTGCCATGTGGGCGAATCCTGACCAGGGCCAGGCTTGCATCCGCAACAGTTTCTAGGGCATAGAATCTCACATGGCTAGCCTTCTGAAGTATCACATGTGAGAGCAGCCACAACACTAGCAAGGCCAAAAGCCATGCTCGGCGCTCAGCACTAGTCTCCGTGGGAAAGTCCATTGCAGACTTGAAGTTGTCAGGTGAAGGAGAGCGACTTCTCAGCGCAGGCAATGGGGAGCCTCCGTGCTGTACTGCTCTCAGTACCACATATTTGCTTGCCCTTGTCAGCAAGCATCTCAAGCATCCACTTTTGCGCAGATCGTGCAGCAGACTGGGGCAACGATTGTCCTGTCTTCCGAGTGGAGGTCTTCACCCGCACTTACACCCGGCCCTGGCCCAAACCTGTGGTTCCCCTTTCCCAGGCGTGGCGAGGACCTGAAGTCTTCCATCAACGCGGTCTTGAAGAGCCAGGAAGCTGTAGAAGCCTTGCAAGCAACGTGAGTGGCTTCGCTGCTGCATGCGGCATTGGGCAGGACATTCCCGCAATCAGGGATAGCACGCCCATATTTCAGCCCAGGACTGCTGTTAAGTTATTAGAGACGTACCATGCTTCTGTTGGCTGACCAGGGTGTTTCAGACCTGTGCTCGCAAACCAGCAGCCCACATTCAAAATCCGGGCTCATCTTAGCTTGTCACTCGCTCATCGTGTGTCAGGCCGGAGATTCAGAAGGTCCGCTGCGGTGTGTGAAATTCGGGGTTACCGCTGCCAGAAGACTTTCAGAACTCCAGCTAGTCAAGCTGCCAGTTGGTCTGCTGAAATGTTCTATCTGACAGGTGAACGCCATATATGCCTGGTGCGAACGACGTGCCAGGGAGATAGGCAAATGGCTCAAGGAGAGCTCGAGGAGTTTATATCTTCTTAAGATCGCTGTCGCAGTTTTCTATTCCCTTCAGGGGCTCATGCTTTACAGTGGCTCCTACCCTAAACGTAAACTCATAACCCGAGATGCAGGACCATCCTGAAGTTACTGCTTGGGTGGCATTGGACGATCTCGACTTTGACTGGGCAGACAGCTTGCGACAAGCTGGTCCAGGACCTAGTTCTCAGCGACGTCTTGCCTTTGCTACAGACTTGTGGATCAATTAGAGGTCTTCGCCTAGCATTGCATAGCTGTGGTGCTGGTTATTGTACGGCTGGGGCGCTAGCCCTGAGAGCACCGGAATGCAAGCAGCTGCAGGATGGCGCAGTTTGATGGACCTGTTTAGGGAGATGCCCCCGGATCTTTAAGGACCTTGCAAAAAAGTAAAGCACAGTCTCCGCTTGCAAGCATAGGCTCCTCGACCGTTCCGCATTCAGTGGACACAGCAGCGCAAAGCACTCTGCATCAAACGTGCGCAACGAAAGGCAGCCATAAAGAGCCCATGAGAAGGGCTTGGGGCGACATTCAGTGATGACTGCCCGCCTGCCATATCTGGTGTGCTCCAGATCCAAAAACAAGTTTTCAGAGATACTGAGTGTAAGCAGCAGGCAGCGAGCAATACTTGAGTTGATCGCGCAAGCGCATCTTGTACTCTGCTACCATTGTTCCGAGCACACTGATCACCTGCTGCATTGGGGTTTCGAGGTTCGATCGCGGTCTGGGCATATTGTTCGGTAGCGGGTCCTGTTTGTCATGTTGAGCTCGTACCACCTTGTCGCCGTTTGACATGACCCGCTTTCCCGGACCGTTGCGCCGCTTCCAGCAGATTTGCGTTCAAAACTCTTTTTGCGAGCATGGTGCTGCACGGTTATCACTTGGAGCCCATTTAAGAAGTGGTGCAAAACAAGAGACTCTGATGAACGTACCTTGCAGCAGCTTCTCCTTCTTGCGGCCCCCCCCATTGTTGAGAGTCTCTGAACTGAACGCTCAGGTACGCCTTGGATGAAGGTCCGCTCAGTGCACACCAATGATAGGATCTGCCTGACGGATGTTGGGGGCTCAGATGGGCTAGAGTGGCTAGAGATACATGATGAATCGATGAATCTGCTCTGTTGGAGAGTGCAGTCTGCAAGTGTCAAATGTTGCTGCCAGGCAGATGCGGCGGATGCAGTGCGCATTCTCCTGAATCCACCTGCAGATCCCAAGGCTGAAGCAGCGTTTTTTTGACATTTTGCAGTTTACCTCTCGCTCAGGTTCCTCAGCGACCAATCTCCCTGCAGGCAAGGTGCTCCAGCAACAACGTTGGGATTCAACAGTCAAGTGTGCTAAGCACCACATCCTGCAGTAGGTCTCAAATGGCTCGCCTTGGCCTCAGACCTTGCCTGGACACAAACAGATCTTGTGATAATAGCAATCATTGTCAGCAATACAGTAATACAAGTAATAACAGTACTAGTATGTAATAATAGGAATAATGGCAATAATAGTAGTCATGTGTAGTAATAGTCACACTAGTAATAGTAGCAACAATGATGATCTCTTTTGATTGCACTTCTTGCATCCTCTTGCCATCTTACTCTTGCCTTCGTGAGAAGTTTGAAGGTCTGGCATACTGGCCAGCACGGAGGCCGGAGCGAAGCACTGGACATCATGTTACTGATATCGGCATTATTACTATCACTACTGTGAATTATGATAACACTATTAAGTGTATTACTGTCATTACCATGCATACTCTTATTAGTATTCTTGGTATGCCTGCTATTATTGCTATCATTACCCTCAGTATTGTTACTCAAAAATTACTACGGTGGTGGCTCGCAAGGGTTTGTTTGGCAGGACTCTGGGCCTGACCGAATCAGACTGGGCTGACTTCGGTGGGCCAGAGCAGATGTAGTTCTAGCCCCACATGCCCCACATCCTTAGAACCGCATCAACATCGACTGGAGTTGCTCCATGGCAAGCATGCCCCTCCAGAAGGCATATAGTGAAGTTCTCAGCCCCAGGAAAAAACCCTCATGCGCCCTGGGTCTTGCTAGCGTATGGAGCCAAATGGTTGACCTGCGTGCAAGAAAAGTGCAGAACACCTAAGCTTCATCTACCACATGCTTCAAAGCTTCCCTGCGCGCCTTCAGCTTGGACTGTGCCCAAAGACCCTCAAAGCTACGATGCTTACAAAGAACATGCACTAGCTGCAGCAGATCCATTTCAGAATCGCTGAATATCACGAAGAAATGATGCCTAAAATTGATGTGATGACGTGACGGGTAGGCGGGTGGTAACGTTTAAATAGGGTCTCTACAGGCAACTTGAGCTACACCTTTTCCGCACATGCAGCCCAGTCAGAGGTTCGCTTAAGTCAGAGCATTTATGGTGCATGATGCATCTTTGGCGCGTGATGAACGTGGGCCTTATGGGCGAGTCAGAGCCGCCAAGCTTGAAGATGAGGCTGAAGACAAGTGTCCGTTTTGTGGTTGGCCGCTGCAAAAGTGGTGGCCGCACATACGCGCACCTGTCTTTCTCAACAGTGGCCCGGCCGAGATTCGGCTTTGCCACCTGAAGTGCGCCGAGGATGCCATTAATACGTTGGAGACCGCAAAGGTAAAGGTCGAGTCAGAGTTTGCCTGCAGCCTGCGGGAGCTGCTGCAACGAAGCCCAAACCTCTTTGCGCGCCGGGCAGCGGCACGTGTGAGTTTGGAGGAGGAGCGCCTGCACGATGTCGCCACCAGCCAGGAGGGCCCTTGTTGGCCATTTCGGGCTTTGCCACCGCCACCGAGTGCTGCCTTTGCCGTGGAGGGTATCTTGGAGATGAGGCTGCCGCCTGTCTGGACCTAGCAGGCCAATGTGTGAAATATTTCAAAAACAGTGGCAAGTTAGTGCGGTCTTGTGTAGTTGTAGAGATGAGTTGTTGTCCTCCCGAG